CAGCCCCCGAGCCGTCCCGCGCGAGCTCCGCGGCGCGTGGAGCCTGTCGCCAGCGGTACAGGGACAAAAAAGATAAAGTTGGTGAATGATAAAGACCGTATTTTCCACGCTTTGGGTGCAGGACCAGATGATCTAGAAAATGAGCTGAAATAGATTCAGCCTCAGAGCCTGTTGTGAAGAGCAGCTGATTCCCCTATTTCTGGCCAGATGGCTTCTGAACACAGATTTGCATTCATTTTCGCTTAATATCGTCCAAAATAGTGGGGCAGCTGCATTTGTTGTCAAAAAGGTTTAAAACTCCCTTTCTTTCTGGGGCAGGATCGTTACCTTATGTGATGGGCTTATGGAACTTTTTTTTTTTCCCCCCTCTTTAGTCAACAGTATCAGATTTAAAAGGATTTGTTTTAAAACCTTCTAATTTGGTAATCAGATTTAAATCGCCTTGGCGCGTGTAATCTGAATTAAAGATACTGTAAATGATTTTAGGCATTATGCTTTCGTTAGCACAGGGAAGAAACAACTTCAGCACTGTTCTGTGTATTTTAGGAAATATGTTACAATTATAGCATTGTTGGCTATTTTTAACTTATTTTTAAGAGCGCGTATTTTGCATAGTAGGGGACCAGCAGCGACCATCCCCTCAGCGCGCCGCGTGAATCCAAAGTCTCTAAATATCCGCACGCAAACAAATGCCATTTCCAGCCTGAACGCTACACTGTTTGGTAACTTTGGTTTGCTTGTCCCTCCACGACAAAAGTGTTCCGTTTTGTAGTGTGCCCTACTGCAACGCCACAGCTCGGGGCTGATTATGAATACGGGAATTTTCTTTTAATTTATCATGAATAGTTTCCATACACTTTGATTTAAGGTTATTAACATTCTATAGACAGTGGCATCTTTAATATGTGGCGATCGCTTCTAAAGACTAATCTCATTACCCTCAAATAGTCATAAAATATGATTTTATTATACTTACGTATTTAATTAGACGGCCAGCAATGTAATGGATTTTGAGATCGGGTAGAGCAACAGCTTTGATAATTCACTTATCTTTGGCAATAGTCATTAACCCCCAACACCAGCAAAATAGATTGCTTTCTAACACATCTTTTTTTCCTCACCCCTTGGAGAAAGGATCGGGGGTCTCCTGATAACACAAATCGGACTTCGATTTTCACCGATTAATTAAAATATTAACGTACCTACCCTGACAAATCGCAAAAAGGAAGTCCTAACCTACACGAGGCGGAAAAAGCTCATCGCTCAATGCAGTTGTTGTGCTCTGCTCTCCCCGCACGCACACACACGCGCGCACACACACACACATATTTAGTGTGGGTATATATATATATATA